ATTTGACCCCCGAGCCCTCAGGAACTAAGAGAGGTGGAGACACTAAATTTACAGGGTTTGTTGGTCTACACGTGAACTCAGGAAGGTCAAAGTTTGCAGTTCCTAGGTCGCGAGCTTTGGGTCAAACAATGATTTAAGGTGGGTGGCTTTGTTTGACCTTTATAATTCATGGTCACCAAAGTCATACAAGACTACCTTGGGTTTTACATCTGAGCAACCGACAAATGTTACGCCAGGCAGTATGTTCCTGAAAACAAAATTTGCTAGGGTCATTTAAGATCAGTGACTTATTCTGACCTTTAAGAAGTCCATTGAAGATGCAACATGCGGTTCATGTTATCAATAAATTAGAACTGATCACCGGAAACGTTCCCATGCAGTAAGCCATAGAGTAATAAAACAGGTTGGTTTTGGTTTCATCTTTCCTTCATGCCTGACTTTAGGTCAATGGAATTTGTTTATTCCATTGTTGTGTTTCCAAGAAAGCATCTCAGATATGCATGGTTTCGTCTAACACTTCGTTGATGCATCAGATTGAACGATTCCCTAGAAATTGACTTCGCTGAATCCATGGCCTGCCTTTGACCTGCCGTAGGTCAGTGACCTTACAAGGTACACCAGAATTTTTTCATACTAAAGAATCCGCTATTCAATGGTCTACACTTCTGCAAAATTTGACGCGGCTAGTCTGCGCCGTTCGGAAACCATTCTGGAAAAACCTTCGGGGGCGGGGGCAATTTAACCTCCCCCTCCCCCCGAGCACGTGTTGACGGTAGTGATTTGAATAACAGCCGTCAAGCGTCACACACTAACCATAATAGACAGCACCTTTAGAACACCGTCGTGCATCCAATATGATGCACCACGCATGGTTGAAAATCCTGAGAAAACTTGTTGCAAAGCCACTAAAACGGTTTTTCATTGGGACTAGGGAAACAATATGGTTAGTGTGTCAGTCCGCTAGTCAAAGTGGCAATTCTGACACGGCCAGTCTGGTAGTAACTCTAACGTCATAAAAAAAACGTTACACCATGTCTTATTCGAACGATGACGTAGTTGGGAGGATATGTGCTGAATTGTGAAATTGTGTTGTATAAAGCGGTGTTTTGCACTTAAGCATACTAAGCACAAAAGCATACTAACAGTCACTAAAAAACTTTTTCCGCAATGTCTGATGCTTGCATCAATGTCTTGAAATTTGGTACACCTCCCTCCCTTTAATGATGGAATCTCTGTACCTGTTGTTCCTGTTGCTGCAACTCTCAATAACAAGTTCAGAGGATGAGCCTAAAGGAGACGTTCCATATTTGACAACATTGTGGCAAGCATCCGATATAATGAAAGAAGCTCACTTATAGCTATTGGTATGCATTAAGTGCAAAAGAATGCTTTAGAAAGCACAATTTCGCTATGAAGTACGCGTGTTCCGCTCCTCAATGCATCGTCGTTCGATTGCGATATGGAACATTTTTACGACGTTAGAATCGCTGCCAGACTGGCTCTGTCAGAATTGCCACCTTGGTAGACCGGCTGACTGGCTTGTAGTACCTCACTCGCCGCAGGGTTGCTTGTGAATTCATGTGTTCGACATGAACGGACGGTTATTATGTGCTGTAGTTTATATGATAACATTTTTTTTACAAGCAGTTGCATTCTCGGCTACGGCACTATTTTTTTTACAGGGAATCCACGCTTGTTGTTCCATAGTTGCTGGGGTTCTTCTACTCAAGTAGCCATATTGCTCAAATAGCCACCAAAAGTCGGTGCAGTTCAAAGTCCTTGAATCCTGAATCGCGCTAGTTTCTGAGCTATACACCCGCGAAGATGGAGACATTATTTGAAGAGAGAGTATTTCAGGGTTATCTTGGCTTGTATGACATCATAATGATGCCATTCAAACCCTGCCGTTCCATCGCCCATGTGACGATCAAGACAAATAAGGACAAATGTCGAGTCGTTCATGTCTGGCGTTCGTGAATACCATGTTCCAGATACAATGGCTGTCAATTAGCTCTCAAGCAATGTTGTGCAATGTACGATAACGTAATCAAACAATGGCGCATTGTGAGGTATCTTTACTTAACAGAGAAATTGTGTTGTTGAGAGCAGTCATTTTCATGTGAAAGTATGCCACCAGTTATGAGTGAACCATTTCATCATGTCTGATGCTTGGCTCGGCATCTTCGAATGAGGAACATTGCCTATATATATATATATATATATATATATATATATATATATATATATATATATATATATATATATACAGTCCAATGCTGTTCTGAAACGTTTATCACATGATGTGGGCGTGAAAGTAAATCAAACTGCTTTCCGCGTAAAATTCTGTTGGTGATCAGCTGTGCTGTCTACATCACTGACAAATCCTAATAGTTAATGAGATCAAGTTATTGATTTTTTCTCAGATTCCCTCACTTAAGCAAAACTAAACTCATGAGAAAATATGTTGCGAAAAGTGCTACTTAGAACACTACGAGGAAGGGCACAAAAGGTAAATCACGAACCCATAACCATATTTGCTTCAGCGAACACGTTCATCACTGCCACTGCCATCCATTGGCGAGTTCAAGCACAAGTGAATGCTAGAGTGGCTATTTCGCACGGCCAATTTCGCAGCACCCCTAACGTCATGCAGATATTTCATGACACAATCAAACAATGACGTGTTGAGGAGCATATTTACTCAAGAGCAAAGCGTTTGTCCTTAGCAGCCCTTTCCATTTCAAAGTATGCTTATAGTTACAAATGGCCTTATTTCATCATGCCTCATGCTTGGTTCAGTACCTTCAAATGTGGAGCATTCTCTTAAGCGATCGAGACACCAACTCCAAGCAACCCATCACGGGGAGCGTTCGCTGGGGTTCTAGAAGTCATCGGTGAAACAGCTGTGTTAGCGGGTGGTGAGACGTGATCTTCATTCGTGTCTTTGCCGGTTTGTCTTGAACTGCGCAGCAGTGTTTTGACGTGCAGCGGCGAGATCCACTTACGTGGACACGTTGCGAAACGCATCTTGCATCTTGAATCTTGACTTTAATCTATCAGGATGCCCGGCCACTGAGGGTCGTTCTTCGAGATCGAAATCAATGTTAAATGATGAGGAACGCAATAGGAACAAACTACAGTGCTTAAAGCCAGCGATATTGACGCAGGCTGGCACTGCAATCACTCTGAGTAGGACAGCGTTAAACTTAGATGGCGAGCCGTACCCCAACAGGTGTGTTTCTGCTGCTTCAACGGGGGCTGAAGAAAGACGAGGGTACTTTGTAGAAGGTATATTATACGCCCAAAGACAAACAAGACATACAGTGACATGAGGTAAATTATGCTTAAAGGGAATGTTTCGCATTTGTGGCGGATTTAAACTGAAAAGACCATCTTGAAGATCATTCGGTGCAGTTCACATCCCTGCAAGGTTTAAACCATTCTAGTTTCTGACCTCCACGTCCGCGAAGATGTGCAGACTATCTCGGGGAGACTATTTCAAGGTCACAGGCATCAATAACGCAATACAAATGCCATTCAAGTCTCGTTATTTCATTTGCCATGCGGCTATCAAGGCCATGAAAAATATGATTATGGAGCCATTCATATGTGGTGTTTTTTAGCACAATTTCCAGACAAAGCTGTGACCAACCGGCTTTCAGTGAATGTTGTGCAAGGTACGATGACGAAATCCAGCAATGGCGTACTGATGAGCATATTTACTAAATAGAGAAATTGCGTTATTCAAAGCAGTCTTTTTTCAAATATGCGTCTTTTGATTGTGATAAGTGAGCTTATTTCATCGTATCTGATGCATGTTTCAATACCTTCAAATATGGGACATTCCCTTTAATATCTAAACTGGCGGGGGATTGTCAAAGAGAAGATGCTTCACCAAGTCGACAATCGTCTACCCACACGTTCTCTTCTTCCGTAAGCATTCTTTATTGTCCATGATCATTCTAGGCGTATTGAAAACATACCTGGGTGACCCATGTGAGGGTTAATTTAAACCCAATCGCGAGTGTTAATTTAAGACTGGACAACGCCGTCCAGCCAGCGGGCTGGACTAGAGCTGCACCGTCAACCCCACTTCAAAACAATGGAGCACGGTATCTTTCGTTTTGGCCATTGTCATGGTCACCAAACTTTAAAAGCCAGTTCAGTGGTTGGGACACCAGAGTGCATTTGGTCTGCCGAGTTAGCCTCTGTCAGCATGAGATGACATTTTAGGGCAATGATTGAGGGCATATTACAGACAATGTCATAGTCACCAGACCATAAGACAAGACCCCGGAGATTTTGAGCATAAATTGAGCTTCGTCACCGGGACTAAAATCCATCTGAACGACCCACCTCTCATGGTTGCCCTTCAATTTATTTCCAGTGCAAGGCCGAAACCAAGAGCAAATAACAGGGAACGCCATAGCCCAAATTTAAGCAGTTCTAACTGGTTCCAGCTGCTCTGCGGCTCAAGACTCAAGTGCATGACTCCGGCTCAAGTGCCCCGAGAAAGAATGAGAGTGCGAGCGAGAAAAGGGAGGGAGTGAAAAGGAGTGCGAGAGAGAGAGAGAGAGAGAGAGAGAGAGAGAGAGAGAGAGAGAGAGAGAGAGAGAGAGAGAGAGAGAGAGAGAGAGAGAGAGAGAGAGAGAGAGAGAGAGAGAGAGAGAGAGAGAGAGAGAGAGAGAGAGAGAGAGAGAGAGAGAGAGAGAGAGAGAGAGAGAGAGAGAGAGAGAGAGAGAGAGAAGAGGGCGCGTGCTTATTCCCATGCAACCAAAATTGATACAGAAGGTTTCGGAAGCATGGAAGAGGCCATGTTGAAGGCAGCTACGGAAGGATTTGGATGGGGGGGGGGGGGGATTTACAACAGCGGTGTCTATTCATTTACAGCTCTTTATAGCAGAGGCAAGAGGTCCATCATAAATGCAAATTCATTTTCAGTTCCCAATGGGGTTCAAAGCAATTGTGGCGGATGGCTGACGGATGCCCGATGTTGGCAGAAACCAGCGGAACAAGCTGAAGCTGGATGACCTAGTGCTGAACTCGCCGGACCATCGGCGGCTGCCGGCGCTGCGGCACCACATCTCTTCGGACAACATGGCGGCCGTGACGTCCGGCGCGCCCACCTTCCACATTCCCAACCTGCGCGTGGAGTGTCGGCGCAAGACCAACAGCGCCGAGGACTTCAGCAGAAAGAGCTCGGGCTCGGCCGGCTCGTGTGAGTACCTGCCAAGGCTTTATAATGACAGGTTGGGCGACAGGATTATGCTGAAATCTCAAAGATCTCAAACTGGTACCGGCGTAGCAATCTTAGATTTTGATTCCAATCAGTAGTTGTAGCAATAATACAACTTAATGTCATTCGTAAACACATGATCGCTAGCTAAATATCGTAACCGGAAATACGCGATTTGCAGACTTTAAAACTCAAGAGTCGAAAAATACAACTAGATGTGCCAATGAAATAAGCACAGATACGGTTCTGGTGCTTTGGCGACATAACCCAACTGCGCAGGCCCGGCTAGCTGCATGCAGAGCAACATAGGTATTTTACAGTGTGCATTCAAATGTGATTTGATTTAAGATGCCGCTCCTCTAAGATGCCCTCTTGCTCTAAGCTCTAAGCTCTAAGATGCCCTCTTGCATCCTACCGGAAGAATGTAGCCTATGCATTGCTCTGACAATAATATTTTGAACTCGCGAAAGGTCTGTGGTATGTTTGTAGGCATTATGATCGGAACACTTATGATCAACTTTATTCCAATAATTATGTTCTAAACATAAAAAGCAAGCATATACGATGACTCGGTGTCAAGCCATGGTTGTTTACAGGCTGCTACCTGCCGTGTTTTAATCTTTACTACTATAACCAATGACATGCAGTTGATCAGATGCGTTCTTATTACAATGATACTAATATTAACGCAATCGTGTGACTGCCGCAGCAGTGTTCAACGCAGAGCGACACAACCTGAGTTGGGGCCCCCAATCCATGCTCAACTGAACATACCTTGCACCCTGCCATTTGGTGCAAGGTATGTATTATGCAGTTCCTGGTGGCAGGTGGTACCTCCTACACACGTGAAGATGTTGCTTTGTTTCTAGCACTGATCAGGTTCAGAAAATATCATAGAGCGTGCCATTTGGGCCGTGCTACGGATGCTCGTTAGCGTTTCATCATTACAATTGGCATAGCCATATTTTCCACAAGTGAGCGGGGGGGGGGGGGGGGGGGGGGGCTGATCAGTACGATACTCTTTCAAGCCCTTCTTTTTGTCAAATGCCGCACATCGCGATAATTGTTTGTTTTGGATAGAGTAGTGCAAACACCGGGGCCTTCAGGCGCAGTGCTTGGGTAATGAGTAGGCCATGTTTGGTCCCAGGAGGATTTGGCTCCTGGGGTTCTACCAAGGGCGCCGGAACGAGGGGGTTGAGGTGGGGTAGTGGGGGCAGCTCGCCCCTCTCCCGACTTGGAAGCCGTCCCCCTCTAACTTGGATGGCTTGTGGAGTGCCCATGCTAGTATGTTAAGGGCACATTCTGAACTGTAAAAGGATTGTGTAAACCTGCAAAAGTTTATGCTGATCTATCGAAGGCTCATTCTAGCCTATGTAGGATCCATTTTGACCAGAAAAGGGAACTTTGGAGCCTGTAGAGGGCTCATTCTTACCTTTGGAAGGCCCATTTTTGACTGTGGAGGACCCATTTCTGCCTGCAGAAGCCCATGCTGATCTGTAGCCGGTTCACTTGTAATTGTGGAGGGCCCGTTCTGACCTGTAGGGGGCCACTTTGACCAGTAGAGGCCTGTTATTGACTGTGGAGAGCCCATTTTGGCCTGTAGGGGCTCATTCTGTTTTGCAGAGTACCCATCCTGACCAGTAGAGGACCATTCTGACCTGTAGTGGGCCCATTCTAACCTGTGGAGAGCCTGCTATTGACGTCGAGTCTATTTTGTCTCGCAGAGGGTCCATTCCTAGCCTATGAGGCCCATTCTGACTTGTAGAGGGTCATTTTTGACTTATGGGAGCCCATCTAGGCTTGAAAGGGGCCCACTTTTCAATCTTAGCGGTCGCGCTTCGGCGAGTTTGCCCCTGCCCCTCAACTTGAACTAGCTCCCGCGCCCCTGGGTCTCACTTGCCTTTCAGGTATAGTATCAGGCATCATGTTGCCCTCACTTTCCTTTTCCAATGATCATCACAGATAACATTTGGTTGCATTCAATCAGCATCTAATTGATATTTTGAGAGCGCTCGGAAATGTAATTATGTCATAGCACGGGAACTGTTTGTAGCTAGAAGATGTTATCAAGTAATGTTGTTGTCGTGCTTCATCCAGGCAAACCTATTGTAAACTGGCTGCCTGTAGCTATCAGTTGGCTCTGCTTGCCAACTAAACCTGTCATTTTCCTTCCTTTTGTTATGCTTTGAAAGATAGCACCCTGCTTTGCACATCCCAAGTTTGAAGCCGGTATCGGCCAGCCAGGCGATATCCAAGAAATCCCAGAAAAGACTACAGTTCAGTCGTTGAATTTTTACCTTGAAGTTTGTAACTAACAGGTTTTGACACATGAAGCCAGTGTTACAAAGTACCACAGGTTGTTGCCATTTGGAAATGACCTCCACATTTCCAACGTATTGATGTGCACTTTTCGTTACTCCCGGATTTCTGAAGGCTTCATTAGGCCAAGTTTGCAAACAATCTAATGCTAGGCATGGCTATGGCGGTGAACGGAAGCGGGCCAAAGATCGCATTTGTACCCTCAGCATGTCTTGGAAAAGCTTCAGTTCCGACTCCATGCATATGCTGAAGAGTGATCCAGCTAGGCATCCCATAATCCACTTCACGCGAAATCAGACTGTATTTATCTTCCCGGTCCATCCGGCCACGAAAATTCCTGGAGCCTCTCTTAGCATTGAATACAATCGCTGTCGTCTTCTTACCGGTTGCTCGATCGGATATTTCTCTTCCATCGAACTGACCATTCGTTAATACGTGTCACCGGTTTGAAATAACCCGTATAATAATAATAACCCGATGACAGCAAGCTCAAAACGCTCTATGGCAATCTCCAGCGCTCAGCTCCGTTGGACACTCAAACCTGACACGCCCGCGCCCGCCCGCCTCCGCTAGCGCAGCCCCGCTACCTGCGCGTCGGCGATACGACCCAGACACCGGCCACGTGACCACGGGCCAATCACTGCGCACCACGCAGGGGTGTGCTCTGGCGCATCGCGCCGGTCAAGGCGGTCCGAGCCCGGACCAGCCCGGACCGGACCGGACCAGCCAGGCCAGGCCAGGTCAGGTCAGGCCGGCTGCCCACGCACCTTGACAGACCACACCGGCCAAAGCTCCACTCAGGCAGCTGCATAGACCCCTTCAACGGGATGCAAATCATGGCGCAGTGATACGGGCTGATAATACCAACCACGGCTGATCAACCGCAGCTGTTTGAACCCCAGGTATAGAAAGGAGACAAACTTTTAAAAACGTTGTGGGAATCACCTTGTGGGGAAGAACGGCTTATAATGACTGGAAAACGATTATTGAAAAAATCCGTATTGTTACGCCCTTCAACAAGTAAATGCCCAGCAGCATCTCTGTGGCGACGTCATTATATTTATATATATATATATATATATATATATATAATGTATATCTATCTATATCTATATATAATGTATATATATATATATATACATTATATATATAATGTATATCTATCTATATATATAATGCATATATATATATATATATATATATATATCGTCATTGAATGGTGTAATAGTTATATATCAAGCTCAAGTGATTGGATAAACCAATTGAAAGAGTACATTTGTGTTGTATTAGGCACACAAGAAAGACAAGGCGTGCCCGAAACTTATGAGAGAACAAACTGAGAACAAAAATGACAAAACAAAGAGAACAAACATTTGTAACCAAGGGTAATAATGTGTGTGGATGTTTCGATTTTCATAGTGAAGTGTTTGGACGATATATTGGGATAGAATTATGTAATGCTGCAAAGTCCCTGCCACCGAGGTTTAGTACGCGTGGTAGTCGTTTGCGGTCATTAACGTGATACGTTTTTTTTTTCTCGAGTCCGTTCGGTAGCTGACGTGTATTGCGAGCCAGAGCTCGTGGGCACTCAGCTACAATTTTGGCCAGTCCAATGTGTGGACTGCATCCAACGAACCACGTGCGAGGCCAGCACCGGAACACACGTCTCAAGGTAGATCTATTGCAGACGGGCTAACCGACACACCAATGACGTCATCAAAGCGGCCATATGCGCTGGGTTGCCGACCTGAGGGCCGCCGCGCCCAGCATGCGTGTGGTTTTCTTCAAAGGTATCAATTGATCAAATTGACAACGCCCAATCCACTCAGAAGTAAACTCTCCCGTATTACGGCAGTCGCCTGAAGTCGAAGACGAATGGAATGCTCCCAACGCTGTTTTCCATCTTTACGCTGCGTTGCCCCTCTCGCGTCCGTCTGCCAATTCTCCTGTCTTCCGTCAGGCGGCCTCAGCTTCCGGCGGATGGGTGATTACGTAGCGAGATGGGATTCCAGGTCAAACCGAGTGAGGAGTCCGTTCACAGAAAACCATGTCTAAAAATAGCATCGAGAGGAGAAATCGCTTCACGAACACGCGCTTTCATTCGACGGCAGCTTTGCTGCGCGGCTGCTCTCGCTCGTCGGCACCGTCGGTCGGTGCTGATGGCGAACGGATGCCCTGGCTTTGAGAGGCTGGACATAAGAAGACACCGTCCAGCTGGACAACTTTCCATTCATTCGACTCTCGTTTTGCTCGAACAAACGGCAAAGCGATGTTACTCGTGTTAATAAATGCATTAAAAATAGTTTGCTAGCAGATTTAACTCCAGCGCTGTCGATGAAAGCAGGTGGGTGTGACACACCCGCCCGTTCTCAATATAATTGCATTGCCGATTAGTTGGTGTTTATACCCATAAACGAATATCTTTGCGTCATTTAAGTTTCATACAAATCGATAGGTGAAGTCGCGCTTGGGTGGGGTAGGTTAATACCAATAATAGGGTAGGACCCCTTCCCCGAAGGTGTTACCGGAATGATTTCCAAACGGCGCGTTTTAATCGTGCCAAACTTTGCATAGTTGTGAGCAATTGCACAGCCGGTTTTTTGTATAATGTTAGATGTACCTTTTAAGGTCGTTGGCCTACGGTGGGTCAAGGTCAGGCCATGAATTTAGCGAAGACATTTTCGAGGGAATCGTTCAGTCTGATGTAACAACGGAGTGTTAGGCGAATCCATTCATCTCTGAAATAGTTTCTGAGACAATGGAATAATTGAATGAACAAATTTCATTGACCTGGGATCAGGTTTGAAGATCAGAGCAGGATCGAAACTAACCTGTTTTATTACTCATCGGCTTGCTGTTTGGGATAGTGACACTCATTTTACATTTATTGACAGCAGGAACCGTATTACACATCTTCTGTGGAATTCTTAAAGATCAGAATAGGTCACTCACCTAAAATGACCTGTGTCTTCATTTTGTTTTAGAAACATACTACCAAGCGTAGTCTTTCACGCTTATTCGAATGCAAAAATCAAAGCAGTCTTGTATGATTTTGGTCAGCGCGACCCGCAAAAGTGAAATAAAGCCACTGATCTTAAATGAACGTCAGGATCTTTTGGTGAGAGCAGGTATCTAGGTTCACGGTTGTTGCATGGAAAGGTCTCTGGCCACTTCGGACAATAATCATGAGCTTGACCTTTTTTTACCTCATTTGGCATGTAGCCCATGACCTAGGTGCCTCAATTTTTACACAAGTGAGTGCCCGTGAAAGTGAACACATCCTGTGGATTTTGTTCTCCTAGCCCCCTAAGTTTCTGAGATCCCAGGAGCGTCAAACTGAACCCCCACCCCACACAAGCGAAGGATATTCAACCGTCCACCCGGGTGTATGTCGAGTGTTCCCTACACTCGCCAGGCTAGCTACTGCCTTCAATATAAAAGAGCTCTGTGATACCAATCATGGGAGAGCCTTGTGTTTATCTCCACAACTGCTGTGGAAAGTCCGGTGTTACTGACTGAGGGCCGTGTCCCTAAAGGCAGCCATCGGAAAGTTTGGACGCCGGAGGCCAGATCCCACTTCAGTTGGCTCCAAGCGCACCAATCGACGCCAAAAGTTGGCCTGCGCTGGGACTCCTGGCAGCTGTCATTTGTCGTAGGCCGTCGATCCATGGTGCCCTGTTTTTCCTGAGTCGCTTAATTTGGGACCGAGTGATGAAGCACACAAGTTAAGGTGACCTATTAAGTTGTTTTGGAGAGCTTTGAATGCAGGGCTCGATCAGATTATGTGTAGTTCAGTTGTTGATGGGGAACACTACGCTGCGTATGATCGAAGTCAAGTACAGAAAATCTCAGAATAGTTGAACGACTTCTTGCCCGTAAGAGCACTTCTGGCAAAAGAAAATAATATCGTAGCGTACAACATAACCATGCATTTTTTCTGCCATCTTTTCATTGTGAAAAGTAACACTTTGTCATTTCCAATTTTACTTCGAATCAATTTTAAGAACACAAAGTTTCGAAAATATTGAAACCATATTTGTGTTGAAGTAAAACGATCAGAAAATTGGATAGATTAAAACATAAAGACTCATTTGCACCTTCTCGTGTCCACTTTTCCTTTGTCTGATGATGCAGCGTGTACTCCCTTGCAAGTTGTGAACCAGCTTTCCCAGATCCACTCAAGCTACCACATTACCAGACCAGACAGACTACCAGACAGTCTACTCGACTATCACCAGGCACTTTGTGGCACCCAGCTACCTACTTGGCCTCTCCCTTGACTCCTTCCTGCCCAGCTGCGTCTCCACCCGGCCTTACAAGAACTCCTCCATGGCGTAACGTGATCACATGAATTAATAGAAACATCTTGACCGGTAAGCTGATTGCGGCTTGTTGGCCGGGGCGACCTGAAAGGCCCCTGATCGGTAGCCGCACTCCGCCTGCCAGAGCCAGAGCTCGGCGCCGCACCGCCGCCGCCGCTGCTGCTGCTGCCAGAGCCAGGGTTGGCCCGCTCGGCGCCGCACCGCCGCTGCCGCTGCTGCTGCTGCCAGAGCCAGAGCTCGGCGCCGCACCGCCGCCGCCGTTGCTGCTGCTGCCAGAGCCGGAGTTGGCCCGCTCGGCGCTGCGCCGCCGCTGGTGCTGCTGCTGCTGCCAGAGCCAGAGCTCGGCGCCGCACCGCCGCCGCCGCTGCTGCTGCTGCCAGAGCCAGAGTGGGCCGCTCGGCGCCGCACCGCCGCCGCTGCTGCTGCTGCTGCCAGAGCCAGAGCTCGGCGCCGCACCGACGCCGCCGCTGCTGCTGCTACCAGAGCCAGAGTTGGCCCGCTCGGCGCCGCACCGCCGCCGCTGCTGCTGCTGCTGCCAGAGCCAGAGTTGGCCTGCTCGGCGCCGCACCGCCGCCGCCGCTGCTGCTGCTGCCAGAGCCAGAGCTCGGCGCCGCACCGCCGCCGCCGTTGCTGCTGCTGTCAGAGCCGGAGTTGGCCCGCTCGGCGCTGCGCCGCCGCTGGTGCTGCTGCTGCTGCCGGAGCCAGAGCTCGGCGCCGCACCGCCGCCGCCGCTGCTGCTGCTGCCAGAGCCAGAGTTGGCCCGCTCGGCGCAGCACCGCCGCCGCTGCTGCTGCTGCTGCCAGAGCCAGAGTTGGCCCGCTCGGCGCTGCGCCGCCGCTGGTGCTGCTCGGACCGGGACACGTGCCGGCCAGCTGCTGCTCGGACCGGGACACGTGCCGGCCAGCTGCTGCTCGGACCGGGACGCGTGCCGGCCTGCTGCCGCTCAGATCGGGACACCCGCCGGCCGGCTGCTGCTCGGACCGGGACACGTGCCGGCCGGCCGCCGTTCAGACCGGGACACGTGCCGGCCAGCTGCTGCTAGGACCGGGACACGTGCCGGCCAGCCGCTGCGCAGACCGGGACACGCGCCGGCCGGCCGCTGCTCAGACCGAGACACGTGCCGGCCAGCTGCTGTTCAGATCGGGACACCGCTGCTCAGACCGGGACACGCGCCGGCCGGCCGCTGCTCAGACCGGGATACGTGCCGGCCGGTTTCACGCCCAGTTCTCAGTTCATTGTCAGGAGAGAGGGAGATGAGAGGGAGGGAGGGGGGATGGAGGGAGGATGAAGGAAGGGAGGGAGGGAGAGACGAGAGAGACCGTAGATGAGAGAGAGCAAGAGAGCAGGAGGACGGTAAGAGAGAGAAGAGCACCGAGAGAGACGAGACGACGAAGAGAGAGAGAGAGAGAGAGAGAGAGCCCGACCGACAGAGAGAGATGAGAGAGAGAGAGAGAGAGAGAGAGAGAGAGGAGAGAGAGAGAGAGAGAGAGAGAGACAGAGAGATGAGGTAGATGAGAGAAGAGAGAGAGAACGAGAGAGAGAGAGAGAGAGAGAGAAGAGAGAGAGAGAGAGAGAGGGAGGGAGAGAGAGGGAGAGGGCGAACAAATATAAATATATATATATATATATATATATATATATATATATATATATATATGTGTGTGTGTGTATGTTGTGTAGGGTAATGAACTAAGCTTGAATCATTCCGGAATGAATCTGAAAATATTGTGCCCAACCCGGTAAAAGAATAGCTTCTGTACGCTGATTGCGCACGCGAACACGAACACTCTGCTTGCGGACAAAGACTTCCCGAAATGAAATTTTGCCAGCTGGCTCCTCTTTTATCTTAGATATGATGTTTGGCTGCTTACTGGAGTGATTATCCGCGGTAGGAATCTGCAAGTGTTCTCAGTAAACATCCAAACTTTGGATTTATGAAGGCGTGCTTTGATTAGATTGTAGAATTTTAGGTATCTGTTTTCCCACGTTCTTTGATGTTCCGAAGCTAAAAATACTTTGCAAGGCTTTGCGTTTGCTTAGACTCTTAAAGCTTCAAATGTGAGTTAATCAGCCTATTTCGAAATTACGTCCATGTCTAGATTCTATGTTCATTTTGGTCCATTCTCTCTGAAAAGGTGCCTCTTCAAACACAAGGATATATTTCCCTTAGACTGGCAGGTTAGGCCGTCGTATAAGAGTTGTGTTGTGCTTGGTGTGGAGGATCTTACACAGGTTCCAAACTTCGGGTCTTGCGCAGTTACGTTCAACAGCATTCGGCTAAAACACTTCCCGATTTTATCTTAGATACATGAATGTACCGTTATATCCATATACACCATTATCACCGTTATTACCACAAGTATCGCATGCAGGTACCTTGTTATATACCTAAATTACTTGATGACCTGTCTAAAAATATAACCAACATGAAAATCTCTTCGAATTTACACTCCTTCATACCATTATATCCACCCAATGGAGAGTCGTAATCCATGGTACATGACGGGCAAAATTGGCCGTTCGGGCCAGCCGTCCTCTGCGCGTGTTACCAACCTGACGCGACCCAACTGTCTCAGCAGGCCCATCATCGCCGGACAGCAATCTGCTGCGCGTGCACTCGGCCATGATCGGGCGGCGCCTCTCCGACAACGAGCTGCTCAACCCGCCCAAGATTCGTGTCGGCTCCTACTCGTGCGGTTCGTCGACCAGTGACCTGCGCGTCGGCCAGCTGCCGATCCGGCGCCACTCGAGCACGTGCCCGAGCGAGCGGCGCGCCTCCGTCTTCAGCCTGTCGCCCCCTATGGTGAGCGAGAGAGAGGGAGAGAGGGGAGAGAGAGGGAGTGCGCGACCCAGCTATCGACCGGCCGCGCTCCTTGAGGACCTCACGTCGCTGTTTCTGTTTTTACCCCCGTCCGCTGGTGCCGCCACGGCCTGTGCAGCGGCCGGCTCCCCCCCCCCCCCCCACCCCCACCCCCCACCCCCCGCTGCCTCGCCACCCCTCGCTCTCCACATATAGCTGCAGCCGACAAAAAAGCGGGGGCGGATGGTCCTGCCACAGCCATAATGACTCCGGTGGGAACCGCCGTCGCCGGTCCGAGGGACGGGCTGGTCGCACGCGTGCCATCCTCACGGAGACACGGCGGCCTGGGTCGCGCGCTGCAGGTCACTGCAGTCCTGTATCCCCGGGGACGCGGCGCTCCCGACACACCCGCGCGTTTGTCTTGTGTGTGAGGGGGACGCCGGGCGCTCACGAGCCACGCGCCCGGCACGACACACATGCGATGTCCCCCCAATGCAACAACGTACGGCACACTCATGCAACGGAGTCCAGCCACGCGCGCCTTCCCCACTCCTCGGCGCGGCCGGCTAGTAAGTGGCATGCGATACGACTCGTCCTCGGCGCCTGTTTGTCACGAAGGCCCGGCGCCTACCGTGATCAGGTCGGGACGGTGAACAGCAAGCCGGCGGCGCGCTGCTGCCCCGGCCGCCGGCGGCGCCTGGCGGCGGGCTCCCCGTCTCGGTTGGCCCAGTTTAGGTTGGCGGATGAGTGCTGCTCTGAGGTGATGCTCAGACCGGATCGATCAGCCTGCCCGGCGTCACCGGTGGACCCCCCCCCCCCGTCCCTCCCCCAGCCCCCCCCCCCCCCCCGCTGCTCCGTCTCTCTGTGCTGCACGCCCATCGCCGGCCGCGCTGCGCCTATGCCGGGTCCCGAGCCGCGGAGCTGCGCGCGCCGCTGGATCTCCGACTACGCCTGCGATAATGGGCCGCACATCGACCTCACCCGGGCCCTGGCCTTGGCCCGCTCGGGAGCCGGAAGTGGCCTGTTTCCGGCGTGCCCACGTGGGCGGAGCGAGCAACAGGTGGCCAGCAGCCGGGTGGCTGCGTGGGCGCAGACTGACCCACTTTGCCCCGTCACTGTGCCGCGCTGCTGATAGGGGTTGTTTTGAATTGTAACTCGGTGAACTTCATTGATTTTGATTTGATTTAATTTCCTTCCTGATGTTTGGGGAGCATTCTATTGATCCGCGACATTTAATCTCAAGGTAACCGAGCCTGCCATAGTTACCTTTGGTATACTAAAGACCGCTCGATGTTTTGATAAAACCGTTTTTAAACTTTCAGATCCCGATCAATTGAAACATTGGCGTCTTTTTATTCTGTCATCCACATTGAATTGGGAACTATAACGCTGCTATAATGAAAGCAGCACCTGAGGGCCTTCTTACGAAATGATTGTTGCCGCTGGCTACACCATTTCTCATATTTACCGATCCATAGTATTTTTTATGATAAACTGCCTGGCAAATGGTGATGGCATAAGGCCATTATTGTTTTTCTCTCCAAGTATTTATTTTCGAGTAATTTTGAAACCGATGAAAAATGGTCGCCGGCGACACCATTTTGATTAATAATGGTTCGTTGTGACTCGTCTTGCATTGGGGCCGTGCTAGCCTTGGCTTCACAGCTATTACAGTACAAAAAAAAACACAAACACCAGCAAAAATGTCGCATGAATCAGGGATGCTTGTCGCAAGGGACCATTCAAAGATGGTTGCATCCCCTTAAACTTGAACTAGCGACGTGACTGAGCTGATTAGAACATTGTAATTTGGTTAGTGCACGACGATTGCCACATTCAGATCCTAGTATAGTGTCCCAATAGCTCAGAACATTGGCGCTGCCGGCTTCACTATGCACGAGGTGGGTGATTTCATGACAATGACTTGCCATAGCCGGTCCGACGGTATCACATGGTGAGTTCTCTGAGCTGCCGTTACAAGTTCGTTTGAGGTGGTTCTACCCATATTTTGCTCTGACCGTTTTCAAGCACCTAACGCCACTCTAAGCTTTTTCGCCTGAAATTGTGCTGACTTCTAGCTGGTAGTGTTCTGGATTACCTCGATGTGGTGTGCCTACTCCATCAGTAGATCACTGGGGTTGCTCAGACATCACGAGGCCTGATGTATGTTCTTTCTATCACGAATATCCGCTATGCAGAACTGCACTGTGTGGCTTTACGAATAAGGCCATGCATGATGTAAGTCAAGTGAATTCTTACTGACCTAGTGAGTTATTATTCTTACTGACGTCGTGAGTTATTATTTTTACTGACGTAATGCTTTAACAGCAATATTTCTGAATACGTTTAACACGTACTTTAATCTGGGAGTTGCCATCTTGCAAAGCTAATTATTTAAACATACAAGCACTTGAATGGCCTTCTTGGATACTTGTCTGTTTCAGCATTTTTGTTTTGTTTTTGTTCCTTTCTGTTCTTTTCTTTTCTGACGTGTCATATTCATCGGCATGCTTACGCGGCACAGTCATGTACTTATTAGTCAACATTCGACGCATATATGAAGCGTCTTTCCCTGTTTTTTCGATGATGAATATCTTGTTTCTAAGTCGTAAATCACGTTTTCTTGTTTGTGTTTGCATCGCTTTCACTGCCTGGCACGAATCAATGCTATTCACCTTGCATGACATGTTGAGTCAAACTGCGTCAGCGTCATGGCTCAGTACGTGATACCTCACCCTTCCGCTGCGACCCTCATGCTGTTCGGTAGCTTGCTAATTCTACGTTCATCACACCATCACGCTGTGGCTCGTTACGTAACCACCGTAACGTTGCGGCGGGGATGTGCGACGGATGTCCCGTTACAGTGCGGCTCGGCGTCTGGCCGGCGTATCGTTGTAGCAAAGTGCGACGTGTGGCGAGTGGTGCATTGCAGCACAGTCCACGCATTGCGCTGTGTGTGGTGCGCTGCAGTGAGGTGTGTAGCAGGCGTCCGTTATGGCACAGCTCATGGTGCGACGGGCCTCCCGCCGCTGCCCTGCCCGGCTGGCGTTACGGCGCGATGCTGGTCGTTGCTTGACCGGTGTCCCGTTCCATCACATCTCGTTGCGTGACTGCTGTCCCGCTGCAGTGCAGTTCGGTGTGTAACGACCATGCCGTTGCAGTGCACCTCGGTGCCCAACACCAGTCTGCTGGTGCCGTGCACGGCCGGGCCGTCGCGCCGCCAGTCGGCCTGCGGCGCCGGCGGCCTGGCCGGCTCGCTCAAGCAGCGGCGCGCCTCGTGCGTGCCGCCGCCGCCGGCGCCGCCGGCCGGCGGCGGCGGCGGCGGCCTCCTGCAGCAGCTCAGCTCGGGCATGGTGAGTCCCGCCGCCACGTCCCCCTCGTCGCCGCGTCGGCCCAGCCCGCGAGGTAGGTGTACCGGCCGCCGCTGGCCGCTGGCGCCGCCGCCGCCGCCGCCGCCGCCGCTGGCTGCTCGCAGCATGGGCTGGACTGAGTGTGCGGGCGGGCGGGCTGGGCGCACCCCGACGGCGGGCTCCCCGGCCCGCCACCGCCCGCCTCACCGCGCACGGCTGCTCTGTCTGCTGCTCGGTGTTGTGTGTGGTGTGTCTGTGCGCGCGTCGTGTAAGGATGTCTGCTGCTGGGTGCCGCCTCGCCGTTTACAAGGGTGCGCGCGGGGTTTGGCTGTTCTGGCGTGATCCGTGGTGGCGGATCCTCGGCTTTCGGACGTGGTCTTCACCAGGGCGTTTTCCTGTTTGTGTTTGTATGCTTTGTGCGAGTTCATCTCTGATGAAAGTTTGTATGTTTTTTCTTTCGTGTTCCGTTTCGTGCTATTTTTCCAACTGTAGTTGCGTAAGTCTGCCGTTCATTGTCATGCAATGCTTTTGGTTTCCTTGACGCCCGCCAAACTGTAATTTGGACGTGGTATGGATGGCATTGGTGACTGTAATTATGCAGCCTGCTGTTCCGTTCTTTAGAGACTGTTGCATCTGCCTTAAATATTCCGCTAACGAATTGTGTATTTTTGCCCCCACCTTGGCTACCTGACGTAGCTTCCGCGCGAATCAAGCCAGTGAACCAAAATATTCTGCGGCCAGCGATGAATACGAAAATAAAATTGCACGAAAATGAGTTCAGTCAAATCATTGTATATCGCATAACATTATGTGAGAAAAGTTTTCCAGGTACCAGATTTGAATGATAGTCGTCGGCTTCGTTTTTCTTTATGTGCTACGATTCCCTGACGTCAGTGGATTCATGCACATGGTATAGGATTATAAACGTCAAGTCAGATCACTCCAGTCTTATTATGCCAGCGAGATAGACAAGCATAACACACTCCGACTCCTTCGCTCCATTTGATTAAGTCATGTAATTCGCAGTCCTAGCCCTGTGATGACGGTGCGTGACGGTCCCCAACTGTGATGACCATGCGGTCATGCAATTTTGAGGTCATGTCGTTTACGTATGACATGCCCGCGCATGATAACCCAGTGCGCTAGGTCATCCCGTGGTACCGGGCCAGCGCCAGTGGCGTTCGTCGGTACGTTCTGCTTCCAGTAGGGGACTGGGATTGCAGATGTAAGTCTACAGTACGTTTGTATACTTGATGAGCGTTCCGGCTTCACATGTTCGTCTGGCTTGCCACCTTCGGGGTGAAGAGGAAGGATGCTGGACTCCGAATCCGGCGGCGCTGGATACGGGCTGCCAAGCGCCGGTGACTGGTGGCTAGACGGCTACATATGTTAGCCATTAGCGGGTGGTGAATAAAATTGCACGGTCCCAGAATTGGTTTTTCTATTGGGAGTTGATGGAGAATGTAGTATTCATAGCTTGCAATGTTATCGACTCAATAGACAGGTAACCCGGGGTTGCGAAACCGAAGATAATTTTCCAAGATCTTTGGAAATTTCCAAAGACCTTTAGGAAATTCCCCAACGTCTTGCCTGACGGCCCCGTAGTCAGACCAGTTCTTGGTTAGCACCTCCGTATGTGCAGTGGTTAATCCT